TTTTGTAATTTTTATCGGCGCGTTTTCGGACCTTTCCTTAAACTTTCTAGGCAAAAATACGAATCGAATGACACCTTGGTCGTTATTTTTGGACAGGGCTGAAAAATGTCACCAAAAAGAGCTAAATCGAGTACATGTGAACCAGACTATTATTCCAGAAAAGTCCATTATTACAGCACATATAAAAAGTCTCCAGATTGGGCTGGGTTACATCTGTAACTTGCTGCCGAAAGATATCAGCAAAATCTCTAAAAAGGAATTGGAAACAAATAGCTATCAGAGTTCAAAAACGATATGTAAATGAACAACTGAAGAAACGTAGTACTCAAAAAACTTCCGTTTATCTTGAAAAATGGTACCCGTTACAATAAAGAATAACAAATGCAAGAACATATCTATATGAAAAACATCAACTTCTTCAACGAGTTTACATAAACAGATTTTTTTTCATTATCATTTTTGTGTTACCCACTCTTCCAGTACATCGTAAATCAGTAGATTTTTTTCGAATTCACTCAGTTTTTGAAGAAACTGAAGATGCAACCCCACTTCCAGCGCAATCTCAAATCAAATAGGAAATAAAGCCAAACAAATTTATTTCTGTTTCAACTTTTCAGCATTTTCATCATAGCACAATAATTGTCATAAGAATATCATTATCGAAATGATCTGCATAATTCAGTAGCACCTGAAGATTGTGAATACTCGATAAATACCTATTCACTTTTGAAAGTTTGACATTTTTGTTGTCAAAATCACAGAATAAATTTGAGTGATTCGTCTCCTCATTCAAGTATAGTCGTGTTTTTTTATCATTCGATTCGCCGAAACATAAATTGTATTGTTATTGTGTTCATTTCCAAAGATAGATAGTTAGTTGTTTCGATATCTCTAGTATTTTGTCATTGAGTTGGTTTCAGAAAGTTATAATCATTCTTATTTTTTTCAGACAGAAGGCACTGATGATCAGTTAGATATGAATTGGCAGAAATATATTACTGGTGGACTTGGCGTGAAAACTGATCTTATGAGAATTCAACCAGTTCAATATCTGGTTTTGTTATTTCTTCAACAAATCAGTAAGTAACTTGAAATATACAGAAACACAAAAACTATGATCCCCAAGAATTATATGAAGTCATATAATTAAGAAGTAAATACATTATTAGTCTCCGCTATCAAGAATAGAAGTGACCCCAGTACTTCTTCTATATATCTCTAGTGCTTACAATATTTCCAATAATAATAATAACTTTATTCGTCTTTTCGACCATTTACATGATATAAGACATGTCATAAATAAAAATATGAAAATTATATAAAACAATAATAACGGTTTACAGTATAATATAGATGGGACACTTAAGACAGGTAACATATAAGTGTAAGCCAAGTGTAAGGATGGGCAACACTTGGTTACCAAAAGATAGAAATACAAATGCACGGAGCCACCAGCAGGAGCCAACCGCACATTTGTGGATTCAGTTGATAGATCTTGTGTTTAGAACTATCAAAATCACCACCTTCATATTTGTGATGATGCAACATTTTTCGGTTCTTAACATCTAGTTCTTACAACTCCTTCTGAGATTTATTCATGGTATGAAAAATCAATAAATCAACTGGTAAATATCTTACGGGGCTCAATGGGGAATGTTCCTCAATTTGTGTTATTACAGCAAATGCAAGTTTGAACAAAATAAAGTTGAGTTTGATTCATGAGTTTTTCAAATTCACTTCGAAAAGTATTCAAATTGATGTTTCAAGTGTTGGGTTTTAATTTTTAAAGGAATTTGTTTCTAATTCACATATTGGCAACAGCGCCTATATCAAGTTGAAATAATTCATACGCATCTAGATATTCAACTTTAAAAAAGGAAATTATCTTTATAAATCAACAATTAAGGCAAAATATAAATTAAAGTTCAATATCACCTCCACATGCCACAGTTGTTTTGTTATTTATTCATATAGATGAAGATAGGTTAGGTGCACAAAATGTCATATGTCACAGAATGTCTCGGAACTCGGAACATAAGTAAACAGAACAGCACGCCTCTGAAATATGTCATCTTTGATTGTCTCATACAGGTAACAGATTCATTATCCTCCATTAGCTATAACCGTTGTTGCCAAATGGTGAAATAGAAACGAATCCCTTTAAATGTTGAATGCATTATTTCATTCCTCTTTTTTAAGTATCAAAATAATTTTTTGAAGAAAAAGGTTGAAATGATAAGTTTAAAATGCGTTGTTTTAGAGCTCTTTCATGAAAACTACTTGATTTTCGTCAGGAGGAACATTCTCCATTATTGTACCACTCATTGTTTAAATTACGACAGGTCCAGGTCCAGCCACTATCTGGACAAAATTTCTTGCTCAACCTCAGATATAGATTTCAGTAGCAGTCGCTTCGCCGCCTTCACTTGGGCGTCTTCAGGGCTTCGCCCCTTTCTCTTGGGCCCCATGTCAGCACACCAACTCCGGCGGCCAAAAATTTCATATGAGAATTAAAATAAAAGAATTTCCATATGAGAATTAAAATAAAAGAATTTCCATATGAGATTTGAACACAGGTCCTCGGCGGCTGTTTTGTCTGATGACTGATAAGAGTCACCGATAAACATCTGTTTCAGCCTGTTGGGTATCGTCAGTACCAAGCAGGCGGTCTTCGACTGAAAACAAAAGGTGAATAACCAAGAAAAGTACTTAATAAAAATAACTGCGTGAACGCAAGCGAGACAGAAGTGGAACCACCACCTATTGGTGTCACAACCAGTCAACTTGACATGTTTTAATGTCAGTGTTGGTGGTTTGACCGATCAACCGACAACTGCGGTAGCAGAAATTTGGGAAAGTATCCTGGAATGCCATCGGAAATGAATCAATATGTTTCTAAAAATAATATAAAATCGAGAAAGGTTTATGCAGTCAAGCTGCTGGAAAATAATTCCATGAAAATTAAAAGATGAATAGATGAGTACTATTCTGATCATTCCCAATTTGATTTCAATTTAAGAGCCACCGGTAGACAGCTGTTTCAGCCTGTTAGGCATCACCAGTACCAGGCAGCCAGTCCTCGATTGATGCCCAACAGTATGAAACAGCTGTCTACCATCTGGTTTTTGGCCTACAGCTGTTTTTGGCCAACAGATAAGACTCAAATTTTCGTCTCAACAACTTCCAGTTGGCTGATACGTTTCCTTCGAAAATGAATAAATTTGGTACCTATCCTGTTTTTTCTTTTGCTAAATGTGTGAATTTTTCTTGTTGCTCCAAATACAAAAAAAATATATTCTTTGATTCGAGAAAAAGTACATCTTCGCAAGTTACTTTGTTTGTCCTATTGATTCAAAACTACATGATGGTGGTCAATTCACCTTCTACCAAGTAGTGTGTAGTGTTTTTGATTCAACTTTCGAGCAATAACCAAATATCGTAACTTCTGTTTCAGAAATAATGAACAGAAAACTGGCGTGCTACTGGAAAACTGCTGAAAACATCAAACAAAACATTTTACTCGTAGGAATGAACATCTGCTTTGCTTTCATAATTTTCTACATGATAATACGACATTTTCTGATGTACATCAATTTAGACATGAAAAACTATAAGTGCCTTCCTTATTTAATAACGTAAAAAGTTTTATTACTTTTTTTCAATCAAGAGACTGATATTTATATTATTTATTACATATGTACCTAATAAATCATGATAAAAAATGTTCTGTTTTTCTTTTATGTATGTATCATAGGGTAATCCCCACCGATTATGTCAAGTTGAGGATTTTTTCTACAACCAGAAACAATAGATTGTTTTGAACAATGTAATGTTTATTCACCAAATACAAATTGAAGTTATACATATTTCTCATATACAGAGTGGTCCAACGAAAAGTATGCACCTTGCTTTTCTCCTTTTTTTGCAACTTAACGCAAAAATGCTCGGACAGGTCAATTTTACTTTTGAGGGGGACACATTTTAGATGCATTTTTCTACCTGTGCCTTCAACCTCCTAGCGAGGGCGAGTAACAACCCTAAAATTTCAAATGGAAAGTGGGGTCGAGTAATATATCATTTGAAAGGGCACAAAATTATCTTTCCAATGATACCTAATTTGTTGTATTTCACTCAAACATGTAGGTATTATGAAGAAAAACAACTACAACCCAGTACTTTGAAATGTGTAATTGACTTAGTAGAATCCTACTTCAGCAAGTGCTGAAAACTTGACCCATTTGCTTCCATACATAAAAAACTCGATTTTAAACAATTAAAAATTGAAATTAAGGTTCATTTCTAGTTGCTCAATCCAAAGAAATAATAAAAATTGCACTAAAGTCAGTGGCGTACATTTTTAAGTCAAAAATATTCGTTCAAATCCCGCTCGAGACGCCACTGGACTTGTTTATATGAACATTTCGTCTTAAAATTACCTAAAGAATCGTCTGTTAAATTTATGGTACGTACTTAATTAACACCCTGTTAATACTATCCCTCCGATTATCAACTAAACCAACCGCCACTGTTTTATGGTCCAACTTACTTCCCGTAAACAAACAAAGTTATGCTGCCTTCAGTGTAAGGATGGAAAAGGCCTCTCTATTGTCTTTTGTTATTCTGAGCTCTCGTCCAACAGCCCTTCCAATCGTTAACTACAACCACGCTACTTACGACAAAATGGGGACCCTACCGGCCCACTAGAGACTCCTGTTACTGACCGCGATTTCTCTTATTCACTGTTACAAAATACAACTGAATATATGAATATGTTTTTATCTTTAGTGCAATCTCTAATGCAACAATATTTATTTCTTACATAATTGTATTTGTTTTATAAATAAAATTGAATATAATATTTGTTTTAGTAATTTTTCCACACCGCTAAGTTACTTTTGTGAACTATATTACATTTATCTATTCGTTTCATGTGAATGTTAATAAAAATGAACATTTAACCTTGTTTATCTACTTTCTTTGTCTATTCTAACAAAATATTGTTCTGTCAAAATCATGGGGCCCCATTATTCTGTTATGCCCAGGGCCTCCCAATAGGTTAAAGACGGCTCTGATGTTATCCATGAAAACAAATTCAGCTAGCAAAGGACTCAAAAGGTTCCCATTAGTAGATGAACAATGTAGGTACGAGCCCAAAATCCCATGTATTTTCTAATGGAGCTAATCTTTTTGCAATTTTTGGTTCAGACAGGAGTGGGGGAAACGTGTGACGTCATCGACGCAGGATGGAATGAGTCAGGGCTGCTCCTGGCTATACAATTGTACGAATTGCTATACAATTCAATATTTTTTCGTACATGCATACCACATTGACGAAAAGCATACATTTTGACTTCATTTGGTTTTACATTACGTCATTGATTCGAACGAGGCCATGGTTAAATATTTACAAATTTCAATTACTTTGTCCTTCGATAGTCGAATAATATGTCTATTTCTGTCTTCCGTCTCATTATGATAGGCGTGTCCGTTTGCCATAGAAGTCATAGACACGATCCTCAGAGTAATAAAAGACTTTTATTACTCTGAGTCACGATCACGTCGATCACAGAGCACAAAGAACTTAATTTTCAGGTCAGTCAAATGTCAAATCTGTCGAAAATTCGAAAACCGCTAGCGCCTAGCGCTAAACTAAATGAGAAATAAATCCACGGTGAGAAAAGAGAAAAGACGAATTTTAAATGAATATTTAGGAATGGTAGTATTAGTATTGGTAGTTTAATTAAACTGTTTAAAGCATGAAATGAATGGACCGGTATGTAACCAGTTATTATGCATTTGACTTATCAATTTATATATTGAATCACTTATTACAGATACGTGATTAAATTATCTAGAAAAGAATCTAGTCAAACTTCGAGTTCTTTATCGAATAATATCTTGCCTAATAAGGAACCCCATGCTCAAACTCCGAGTTCATCTAATATCTTGGGTGATAATGAACCCCATGCAAGCACATCTACAATTGCTGATGAACATAATTATTATACATTTACACAAGATTCGCAAGAAATTGTAATACCTCAAGAAAATGAATCCAATAATTCTTCAGTGCCACAGGAAAGGAAGAAAAGAAAGCGAAAAATGTATACTCTCAATCCACAATCATCTGGAAATGAATTTACATTCCTCGACAAATCTAAAAAATTCCCTTTTTGTAAAATTTGTCAAAAAAAATTATCTGGGGGAAAATATCACATGATTAGGCATTTGAATAATGATACTCACAAAAAAAATGAGCATGCAGTAAGAATTACTGCACAAATAGACAAAATATTACCGAACTCTGTGAAAGAAACAAAGTTACAATTGATTAGAGAAGTTGAATTGAAATTTTGTTGCTATATATGTGAACATGATTTATCATTATCACTAATGAATACTTTTCCAGATTTTTGCAAAAGTGTATATGTTGATTCTGAAATTGCCAAAGAAATTAAATTGAAAAGAAAAAAAACTACCCAATTAATCGTCGGACATTTAGGGCCAAATTTCAAAAATGAGATAGTAAATGATCTGAGGAGAATTCATTTTTCAATTATCATCGATGAAACTACAGATATATGCATGAAAAAGTACTTAGTAATTGTTGTGAGATACTGGAAAAATGAATCTGTGTATGATAGATTCTTAGATTTAATTGAGACAGAGAGTGGAACAGCTGAAGGAATTTTTAATGTTTTGAAAAAAATGTTTGATGACAATGATATTCCCTACAATAATATTATTGGCTTCGCTTCTGACAATGTCAGTGTCATGATGGGCAACTTGAAAGGAGTCCAATCTAGAGTGAAGAGGGAGTTGCAACCAAATGTCTTTGTTCAGGGATGTTCCTGTCATTCTCTACATTTATGTTCTTCGGCAGCTGCCAAGAAGCTTCCTGGCACTGTGGAACAATTTGCAAGAGAACTGCTGCACTCAGAGAATTTCAAGTATTTGCCAATGAAAAACCCCATAAAATGCTACATCCCAGTCAGACCAGGTGGTTATCTTTACAGGTAATATAACATATAACTGTTTGTCTTCTATCTACCTGCATGTATAGATATTTATAATTTTAGGCAGTGGTAGACAGAATACTGGAGCACTGGAATTCTTTACAGCTATTTTTTCAGAGAGAAGCATTGGAGAAAAACTTGCCCAGTGCCAAGCAAATTTTAAATGCCCTAACAAATCATATGTATAAATTGTATTTATTATTTTTATCATATGTTCTCAAATTAATTAACACTGTTAATGTAGAGTTACAGTCATCCCAGTCAAAAGTTCCCTTGATGCTTGGTAAAATCAAATCACTTTATAAGACATTTATTAAATGTTTTATAAAGAAGTAATTGAAGATTTTGAAAGAAAGTCGTCTATAGACAAAATCAATGTAACAGATCCTCACAACTACTTTCCCATAGAGAGTACTTATTTTGGAGCTAAAGTGGATGCTTTGCTTAAGCAAGATATTAACATCCACATGCAAGAGTTGACTAGTTTCAAGTTAAGATGTTTGGAATTTTACACTGAAATCTGTACTCAAATAAAAGAGCGTTTTGATTTCGGTGATAAAATTTTATCATTTGCTTCAAATTTTATTCCTGAAACTGCATGTGAGGGTAGTATACGTTCCATTGCCGAGTTTATAAATTTTTTCCCTCATATTGAAGTTGATATAGAGGCTGCAAATATCGAATGGAATTTAATGGTCGAAGCCTCTTTTGATAAAGAAACAAAAGAAAATATTAATGCATTCTGGAGGGCAGTGCAAATTAAGAAAAATGTATTAGGTGAACCTATGTTCCCAAATTTAATGATAATTGTTCGTGTTATTATGTCCTTGCCCCATTCTTCTGCTGCAGCGGAACGAGTATTTTCTAGCCTTAATTTAATGAAATCAAAAACTAGAAACTGTCTTGCAGTAAAGACTTGTTCGGCAATACTTGCAATTAATGATAAGATGGCATTGTATGAAGGAGGGTCCATTGCTTGGAAACCTGACAAGGCTTTGCTGCAGTACAAAAAATAATCAATTGAAAATGTACCTTATAATGATGAACCAGATATGTGATAATTCAGAGTTTTATTTTTTTTATTCTTAGGATCTCATGTGTACTGTGATCTAGTTTTAGAAATTGTTATTTTTGAATGTCCTTTATTTTTGTTTTTACAATAAAAAAAGTTATGTTTTTATTTACTCCCCTATTTTTTATTAGCTGTTACAGTTTCAACTGCCGGGGTCATTCACCTCACCTCTCATGATTTTTGTTTTAGGAGACTTTGTGTTGTCATTTGATTTGATGCATAATATAAGCTTAAGTTAGATTAGTGAATGCATAATTTTCAATTATTATTAATGGAAATAGTAATCAAATCAATATATTTGTAATAACCACTTCAAAATATTCACACATGATGGTGTCTGCGCATGCGCAAATCGCTTTATTCCATCAGCATTATGCGGGAAGCTGTCACTTGTCAATTATTCTGATGACAGATGACAGTGTTGGCGTGGCGACCATTGATACTATAAAATTTTAGTGAAAAGCATACATTTTCATCTGTCATTTTCGTACAATTTTTTTTTTGCCTTGGAGCAGCACTGGAATGAGTATCATAGTGTTTCGAAGAGCGTGGAACTCCACCCCTCGGCCTCCTTAGTACTCCTTTCCTCGGCCTCCTTAGTACTCCTCCCCTTGGCCTCCTTGAGACTCAGCCCCTCGGGCCCCCTTGTCACGGGGTCCTAATTGAAAAAACTTTATCGATATGATATTTGAACCCGGGTCGTCAGCGTGGTAGAGTGGGCACTGTGGGACATACGCTCAGGTAATTTAGTTTATTAAAAATTCAGGTAAAACTCAAGTAATTGAAATATAGGTACTTCAAATTGTAAAATTAGGTATATAAAGCATTGAATATGTTGAATATAGATAGTGAAGGCGCGCCTGAAGAAGCCGTTGTATGTCGAAACAGATGTGGCGTTTTTGTAAAACTGTTCAGTGAAAATTTCACAATTAAGTGTTTTTTGAATACGTTAGTCATAGATTTTCATCAAGTATCGGCCATCATAAATTGTCAAATAAATCGGTAGTCATATGTACAAAAATAGTAAACTATTAACAAGTGTCTTGGTGGAGTTCCGGAAGGAAATGGGTGAGAATTCGGATTCGTCCGGTCTCCGACCGACGATTGTTTCGACGTAGACTTGGCGGGCTTCTTACACAATATGATGATTGGATCGACAAGAAACGGGTGTTTCTGCTCTCCCTTCATTAGCTTAACATGCTTTAAAGAAGCGTGGAACTGGCTGGAATCGCCAACCAAGAGGTTCTCCGGTTCAGTTAGAGCCGATTCGGTGCCAGAGCCATAAAGAAACGCCTTCGTTAAGCTCAGCACACTGAAGACGGAGCACAACGGAGTGACTCAAGCCCCAGAGAGACTTCTACAGATATTCGACAGGCGATAACAACATTTATAGTCTAGTTCACATGTACTTTTTTTTTGTAACATTTTTCACCCCTGTCCAAAAATTACGACCAATTCGATTCGTATTTTTGCCTAGAAAGTTTAAGGAAAGGTCCGAAAAAGCGCCGATAAAAATTACAAAAGTTATAAACAATTGAGTGAAAAATGCGTTTGTTAATTAACAATCGTTTTTTGCAACTAAATATTAAAATTAAGGAACCGTTTTTTTTTCAATCATAAATTCTATTGTTCTT